TGAATGAGACTCTGTCCAGTGGGATTCTCCATGGGTCTGTTATCGAAAGGTCCCTGAAATCCACGAACCACGGATGTCTTGGCCAGTAAGATGCCACCAACAACAGATCCGCTTTCTCCTCTAGAAGCTTCTGGACCACCTTGGGACTTAGTGAGAGAGGAGGGAAGGCATAGAGGAGACCTCAAGGCCAGCGACAGCGTAGAGTGTTGATTCCCTCCGCTCCTTCTGTTGGAAACCTTGACATGAACCTTGGGAGCTGTGTGTTGAAAGGTGAGGCAAAGAGGTCTATGATTGGTTGACTGAACAGATGTGAGATCTCCTGGAACAATCTCGGGTGCAGGCGCCACTCTGAATGGTCAACAGTAGCTCTGCTCAACCAGTCTGTCTGGATGTTGGACTGCCCCAAAATGTGTTCTGCTTTGATGGATATCAGGTTCTTCTGCCCAGCGGCAGTGTCACTCTGTCACTTTCATTAGTGATTTTGAATGGGTGCCCCCCTGCCTGTTTATATGAGCCTTTGTGGCCATGTTGTCAGTCAGGATTAGAACATGCTGCCCCTAGATTAGTGGTAGAAATTTGTGCAAGGCCAAATGGACTGCTCTTAATTCCAGCCAGTTTATGCTGCAGGCCTATTCTGTCATGGACCAACAACCCAGAGCTGTAAGGGACTGACAATGTGCCCCCCTCCATCCAAACAGATTTGTATCTGTTGTGATAATCTGTCTGTGTAGAACCTTGAAGCCCTTGCTGATGTTTACTGTGGTCCATCAGTGCAGCGATATGAGTACTTTTAATGGAACGGTGACCTTGGATATGGAATTGCTCTTTCCTGACCATTGATATGGCAGCAGAAACCATTGAAGGGTTCTGGCATGGAGTCGGGCCCAGGAAACAATAGAAATGCAGGAGATCATTTTTCCTAGCAGTTTGGATAATTGGGCCAGGGATATTCTTTTGTTAGTCCTTTTTTGACAACTGTATAATGCTACTCTGCTTATCTAGTGATAGGGATATTTTTCCAGACACTGTATCAATGATGGCTCCCAAGTGCTGGAGCCGAGTTGAAGGTGTTAAATGACTCTAGGCCCAATTTATTGAAAAACCATGCTCTTGAAGAGCTTGTGGAGTGACCCGAGTATCTAGGCCTGTCAGCTGGACGATGACAAAATTAATATGTCATCAAGATAACATTGTAACCTAATTGGCTTACTCCTAAAATTGGGTGCTAATGCTGCCAGAACCTTTGTAAAGGTTCGTAGAGCAGAAGCTAGACTAAATGGAAGAGCTATATACTCGAAATGGTGGTTATTGTAACAGAATCTGAGGAATCTGCTATGCATGGGTCTGATAGGAATGTGTAAATACGTCTCTGTTAAGTCTATTGAAGTTAAGACATCTCCTTGTCTGATACTGAGTAGGATTGATTGTATGGAGCTCATTTTAAATCTTTTGTAGACAAGGAAATGGTTCAGGCATTTTAAGTCTAGAATCGCTCTCCACCCCCACCCACCCCAAACTTTTCAGGACCACAAATAGATAGGAATAAAATCCTTGCCCTTGTTGATCCTGAGACACTGGTTGAATTGCCCAGATCTTCAGCAAATGCTAGATTGCAGTCTCCATAAAAGTCCTTTTTGTAGGATCCTTTGAAACAGGGCACATCATGAAAAAATTCAGGTGTGTGGAGAGGAACTCTAGAAAGAGACCTGATCTTATGGTCTCTCTGACCCAAGCATCTTATGTTGTGGATTCCCATTGATTTGCGAATAGTCTTAACCGTACTCCTATGGGAGATTTGGGGATAATGTTATTTGGGGCGACAAAAGGACTTGTTTCCTGTCCCGCAAAAGGACCTTTTGTTCTGCCCTCCCCTCCTGTTTTGTCCCCAAATTCAGATCGTTCTGCCTGCTGTCCTTGTCTATACCCAAAGGGCCTTTGTGATGTTTGGGAATAGGGTCCTTGATAGAAGGGATGAAAGGAACCCCTCCAAAAGGACTGGGAAGGTATACTTTCATGCTTGCAAAAAAAAAAGAGGGGAGAATATTTTCTTTGTTTCGAGATTCCACCAAGAGCGGATCCAGGGCAGATCCAAATAGTTTATCCCCTTCCAAGGGGGAAGATGCTAATTTCCACTTACGTTTGGTATCTGCTTGCCAATGTTGGGGCCAGAGTAGGCATCGTTATGACCTGGGACACTATGGCCCTTGATGAGAATTTGACCGAATTAAAGGTTGTGTCAGCAGAGAATTCTGCAGCGGCAATCACTTTGGCTATGTCCTGGTGCACTCTGATATTTGATGAGGGAATGGAATCTCTCAGGTGATGAAGCCACCTTAGTGAAGATCTGGTAAAGAATGAGGTGGCAGTAGCCTCCTTGATCGCCCATGCATCTGATAAGTGACCCCTGCGAAGTGCTAATTCTGCTCTCTCTCCTCTGGCTTAAGAGCTTTTTCCACTTTGCTAGGTATAGCAGAAGGAGAGGCTAGAGCTACTACTGGTTCCTCTACTATAGGGTTGTAGAGTGTTAGAGAATTCTGGTACTAAATTGTAGAATTTCCTATCATATTCTGTTGGATTGGGATAAGTAGCAATAGAGGACCATTGTTTCTGAACTAATTCGGTAAACATTTGTGGGACTGGAATCACTTCTACCCCGTTTTGTCACTTCTGGTATTTTTGGAAAAACAGGAAGTGATGAAATGGGGCTAGATTTTGGCCTACAAAGCTTGTAGAAGCCTGCAGAAGCCTCTGGGAGGCCGAAAAAGGCCTCAAACCGACCGAAAATCAGCTGTGAGGTGCAGTGCAGGTAAGGGGGTGGCGGGAGGTGGGGGTGGGGTGGGGATTGCATGTGCATGCTTAGGGGACATGGGGGGCATGCATTGCCTTCTGGGTGCTGGCACGGGGGCGCGAGCATGCAAGCACACGCACAATTTTTGGCACAGGAGCCCAAAAAGGTTAGCCACCACTGGTCTAGTATCTTCCTTATCATCTCATCCTCTGAGTTCTTCCACTGCTGCGCATATACTATTCTTGCTGTGGTCATGTAATATTAAATATATTGTCCCTTTATCATAGCCATCTAATATAATATCTAATAAAACAGTTCGGGCTTAAAATCTATGTTGCTTAATCGTTTTTTCTAACCATGGATGTATTTGTATCCAAAATTTCCTTGCCTTTATACAAGTCCACCACATGTGGTAATATGTGCCAGATGTTTGTTTACATCTCCAACAGTTTGGGGACATATTATTAAACATTTTAGCCAGTCTTGCCAGGGGAGATGCCACCTATAGAACATCTTATAGAAGTTTTCCTTATATGATGTGGCCATTGTCGCTTTCCGATTTCTATCCCATAGTTTTTGCCAATTATTGTCCAAATCTAAAAACTAAAACTTTTAAGTACTTTGTTGTGACAGACACAAGCCAACATCTACTGCAAATCAGTTGGGTTCTGAAACAACAACATGGCATCATCTAAATATTCAACTGCAAGAATATTAATATTGATATTGAAGCACTGTTATTACATTTTGCTATAACATATAATTGATCTGGAATTTGACTAATTAATGAAGTTTTTGTCCAGTTGTCTATTCAGTGGTCCCCAACCTTGGCAACTTTAAGCCTGGCGGACTTCAACTCCCAGAATTCCCCAGCCAGCTTGCTAGCTGGGGAATTCTGGGAGTTGAAGTCCGCCAGGCTTAAAGTTGCCAAGGTTGGAGAGCCCTGGACTCTATATAACAATGGAAGAGAGCAGGTGGTGACCACCTGTCTTTTGTCCCAAGGCAAAATTGTTCAATACAATTATAATTGGTTCATCTAACCCAGGTGTGGGCATTTTATGATAGTAGGCAACATCCACCCATTTGGCTGTCTCTGTCTAGTCTCTGGTGGTGGCAGGGGGACAGTAGTGGCAGCAAGAGAGCAGTAGTAGCTGGAACAGGGGGGGGCAGCAAGGGGTGGCACAACAGTCCTAGTTTCTCGTGTGGCTCCTTGGGAAAATTAATTGCCTACTCCTGATCTAACCACACTTTGACTGAATGACAAATAGAAATTTTTGAAGAACTTTGGTAAACATGAAATAAAATCTGGTAGAATTAAAACAACTGAAATATAATGTAGTAAGATGAAATGAAAGTGCATCATAAGGATATTTATCTATTTCCTCTTTAGAAAATCTTAAGTGAAAATATAATTACATTATTGTTTCTATCATTGCAAGACAATGTTATTTAGGTCACTTGCTCCCAAGTACTGGAATTTTTACAACACTTAAAATATTTTTTTTAAAATAAGGCAGCTGACTATTGTATTTCCTTTCACCTTTAATCTTTCAGATAATATATAGTCACATTTGTTAGTTTCATATATTTTAAAAAGATTTCAATTTATTGACCATTCTTCTAGCTCATTCATATACCTATATTTCTAAATTTGAATATTTGCTCTGTATCAATTCACTGTGAGCCAACATGAAATGATTCATCTGAGGAAATTATTTGAACCTCCCTAATTACCTGAAAAGTCTAAAGTAATTCAGAATGTTAAATTGCACTTTTATTAACACACAAACACACACCAGCCTTGTTTGTCATGGTTTCTTGACTGTACATTCAAATCAACTTTGAAATCAACTTTATTTGCAAGCCTTGTAGCCTTCCATGAGACCATGCCAAATAGTCAGCTGAGATCTCTGTCAACGATACACCCCCCCACCCAACCCGTTTCTCCATCAGATTTTCCTAGCCTGGTAGTGGTAAAGAAAAATATTAAACAGCGAAACTTGGCCAAACCGATGAATGGCAGAAAGAGCGAAATGAAGGGAGGGACTGACAGGCTGGAAAGAAGGGAGGGGAGGGAGGAAAAATCGTAGGCTGCGGGTGAGGCTTTGAAAGTCAGCCTCGCAGGCATTGCAGCAGAGCCCCGAATCAGGGAGAAAGGAGGAGGACATACACACAGAGACGCAGATACCCTGTGGAGCGGGTGAGGGCAGCTTCCTGAAAGGGCATTGTGTAGTTGTGCGAGTGCAGATATGCCTCTGTGCGCTTTTGTATCGGCGTCGGAGGCGGTGGCTTCATGAGTTGCTTCGCAGACCGGCGGCCGCTTTCTCCTCCCCTTCCCTTCCCTTAAGCCGCCACTCGTCGGAGCTCACCACACTAGAATTAACTGTCTTGAGTTCGCGTCCGTTTGTCACGGGTGGCCTTTGGAGCAACGGGAGGTGCGCGCGACTACGCGCACTCAGAGCCCTCTGACGGGCTGCGGACAGGCGGGCCGGCGCTCGCTCCAGACAGGGCTGCTGCTTCCTGAGGACGGCAATGGTAGTTGCGGAAACGGCTGGCGAGAATGCCACGAACCTCATTTTGGGAGGTAAGCGCGAGGGCCCCAGCTGGCTTTTCGCCCGGGGAGGGGTACGGGAGGGCGGGGAGAAGAGGGCGAGGACGACGAGAAAGAAAATGGAAATGGCCGCGGCTAAGGTTAGGGACTCCGGGGGTAGAGCGAGCTGGAGAGGCGCCGCTTTGGCACCCTGACAAGAACCGGAATCAGGGAGAGACTTAAAGGAACGGATGGAGTCGTGGGGCACAGGCGCCGGAGGAAGAACGGGAAAGGGGGTACTTCGGATCTCTCAGGATTATTTCCGGTGGAACCGGTCAGTTTTTTTTTCCTCCTCTCTCTTTTCCTCCCCCCTCCCCCGCCACAGGGGCTATATAAATAAAGTTTGGAGACGAATTAGGAAAGCAGAGCGGGCAAAGTTTGTGCCCCCTGTCCTCGGTCTTTCCAGCCTGATGTATGGGGCGGCTTTTTTTATTCTTTTTCCCTTTCGCATCCTCCATACTTTCCCTTCAACCTTTCTCTGAATTAGAGAGCCCCACAAAGTCTTGTGCGCAGGAGCTGCAGTTCCACCAGCTGCTCCTCTGCGGATTTAGAGCCGAGGCAAACCTTGGCGAGCTCTTGAAGGCTCAGCCCTCTTCTTCCCACTCCCTTCCTTGCTCCAGAGTCTCCTCGTAGCGTTCCGAAGCTCCCGTTTCTTCTTTAGTTGCATGCACAACCGCTCTAAACAAGGCTATGGTTCTTTTCTGCCTGTGCTCACCTCTCGTTATTTATTCACTTCCTTTCCATTGGCAAACAGGGAGATATGCACGCGTTCATGCATGCATGCACGCACACAGATGTTAAGATTTTTGTTCCCTGGCCAACCTCATCTTCAATAACAGATATGTTCGAATCTCTTAGTTCTATAATGTGTTCCCACTTTCTTTCTACTTATTCCAAGCTCAACTGTATCTTGTTGCACCATTTATCTCTAGTGATGATTTTCTTGGCCAAGGCTTCTTCACAAATAACAGGGAGAAAAATGGTAAAATCTCTATCGGTTTTTGGGTTGTACTTACTAAATTTAATGACAAACAATTGTGTTTGGAAGATCACTGGGAGTGGTATCAAGAAACTTTTTAAAAGTATATAGTGTATAATGACTTGATAATATTGTCAACCTTTAGCACATATTAGTTATGAAGTTGTGACATTACTATATATAGAAGCACAATATATGAATACCTGATATATATTCTTTTTGACAACTTTTTCTAAATATGTAGTTTATTTGCTAAACCAATTATTTCTACAATACCAAGTGGCATATTTTTTTGGCACAAAGCAGATGTAGTGCCATGCATAATATAATCCACAGAGTTCATAGGGAACATAGGACAGTTCAACTTTTAATTTCAGATTGATTTTAGAAGTGAAGATTGCTCTTTACTCTCTGGAATAAAGCCTGTTATGAAAGAAAAGATGAATGAATCTGTATTTAACTTTTAATGGATTATAGCTCAGTGTGACATATGTCACATTCTCAGTAGACTAGTTAAGCATGTGTGATCTGAATAGGCAATTGCTTAATATAAGCACAGAAGTATTTTATATGTTTCCAAATGTTCTGCTTTTGCTTTCTGTTTGTCCCTGTTTTTTTTTAATCTCTCTTTTTAAAACATTTTTGGCTCGTTTTAATTCTTTAAGGAATTGAGGAAGGAACCTCTTTCTATATAAAAAGAACTAAAGCATTGATTTAGGACAGATGATAAGAAAAATATTGGTGGAGTAGTGGCTATTTTTAATTATTGTAAAACAAATGCAGTGTTTAGATGGAATAGTTGCATGGTAGAAGTTCCTAAATTCAAAAGTAAGGTATAGACAATTATTTCTGTTTGAGAAAATATGATTTGGTTTTTAAGTAAATTCCCAGGCACAGACTAATCATATAAATATTGTATATACAAATACATTACCAATAAAGGTGTGGCACTGAGAATGTGACTTATTAATGGAATGTGTTCAAAGAGCTACACTTACTCAGTAAATTCCAGATTCTTTCAGTTGCTTGTGTTTACTCACTACTTAACAGGTATAGGATTTATCATAATTAATTTGGACAAACGTCTTGTCCTACTTATGGCCCTTATTTTTGGGCATACTTTAAATTTTTCTTCATAATTGGAATAGGATTAAAGTACATAAAGTACCACCTTTATTATAGCAATGGCAGTATCACTTAGACTTATATACTAGTCCACAGTGCATTACAGCACCCTCTGAGTGGTGCACAATATGTCATTATATAACTTCACTAAACCAGGATTGCTAATCCCCCCCCCTTTTTTTTTTGAGGAGGGAGCTAAAAGTAAAAGGTAGATTTGGTCCCAAGGCTTCCTTTCCATTTTTTTTAAATCAGATTTGCATGGTATTATTTATCTTTTTTTTTTTTTTTTTGAAGGAGGAAGCTAAAAGTAAAAGGTAGATTTGGTTTCAAGGCTGCCTTTCCATTTTTTAATCAGATTTGCATGGCATTATTTATCATTGTATGGATGCTTTTTCACAAATTATCAATATAAATTCCTAAAATTTTATTTATATTAAATAACCCTGCATTATAATTTTCAGAAAAAAGTGCCAATCATTTTCAAACTACAGAGTTTAGTGTAGAGTGACACTGTAATCAACAGGAGATGTTGAAATATGAATTTGCTTGTTGAAATATCAAGTTTTTTATTCATCTTGTTTTCCTAGTCATTTACACATTATTGTGATTTTTATTTTTTTTTGTGCTTGGACTCTTACAAGTTCCTAAAAGGCCCATGGATTCTAAAAAAAAAAAACATGACAAAGTTAAGCTTGATTCCTGTGACTAACCAATACATCCATGTTGTCTTGGAAACAATACATAGATCTATAAAAGAACACTTATTGCTTTCTTCCAGGAGGTCTTTTTTATTCAATTTACCAATCTTTTCTACAGTCCTCAGATTACTTGATGATCTCCCATCCAAGTATTAATTTGGTCTTATTTTCATTATTCTGATCTTAAAAAATAAAATCACCAAGAGATTCTACCACCAATGGTGGTATGGATTTTAAAACTGAATAGTAATTAAAAGAAATGTTTTGCTCAAGTTGCTTTTTAACAAGTATATAACACCTGCCACACAAAACAATGAAACATTATTTTTAAAGTGTGGGATGCTTAAAGGTTGATTTGGGTATGCTGATGCTGGATAAGAATTCTTATTCTATCTTTGTTTCTAGTGAAAATTGAATTTCAATATCCAAGTGAAATACATATCGCATAATTCTTTTGATTTTCTGTTTAAACTTTCTGTTAAATAATATGATTACTCCACAGATTTTTAAAAATATAGATGAAATATGCTCGTAGTGAGAATTGACAATTAATAGGGATCACTTACAGTAAGGATGGCGGGGGGAGGAATGAAAGTACTTCCTCTGATTAAACTCTTAGGAAAAATCCATTTAAATTAAATTAATTTTAAAATTAATAATTGCATTGGTATGGAATTTTCTTTTGCTGCCAGTATGAGATTTCCTTCCAAAAGTAATACCAGCTTCACTAGATTTTCCTCAGAACTATGGGAGAAAAAATGGAGAAAGAAATTAAATTGTCGATATAGATATAGTATATAGATATAGATACAGACATAGATGCTCCAAACATGTAAATTATTGCCTTTATCAACTGATATAATGTGCTGTTAAAAACTGCAAGTTAAATGCAAAAAAAATTCATACCAAATCTAGTTGGCTTTCAGGGCCAAAAGTGACATTTAAAACATGGATCAACAAAATGATGATGCATTTTGCAACATATGTGGAAAATACAAAAACTACTTGATTTTATATAAATTTCCTTGTATCTTGTTTGTTGACTATGACAGTACTGTTAATATTATGTTCCAATACAACAGGTTTTAAATCATCTAAGAATGCCAAGATACAAAAATCTACCTGCTAGAGAAATTACTTAAAATTATGAAGGTCTGAAAGATGCTGCATAGTCTTGGATGGAGATACTGCTTCCAGTGAATCAGGGTTGATACAAATAATTTATGAACTGTGCTATTGCTTCTTTGTTAATTGCCACCAAAATAGACTTTGGCCATTTTAGAATGTGTTTCCAGTTTATAGAGATCAGTACTAAGACCTAAGGAAAAGTTAGTGTCTTGGAATATTTTCAGAATGTCAGTAAAATTGTATTACAATGCATAAGAAAAAAAGTTATTAGATACAACATTAAAATTTACCACATGGAATAATATTGATCAGTCTTTCTACTATATTGATAAAGAGCCAGTTTATAAGGAGAGAACAAACACATATGAATACACAAATATGCATTCAGAATGAAACATCTTTCCATTGTAACAAAATATTCATTATCTATTGTAACTTTGTATGCTTTTGTTACTTTATTTTTCCCTTCCCCTCATTTGTTCCTTTTCCTTTTTATATATTTTATATAAACATAATAAACAGTTCTATATAGCCCCCCCCCCCCAAGTATACAAAGAAACTTCAGCATGCAATTGCTGATCAATGTCCATGATTCTCACAGTAGTAAATGTGACAGGGCTTCCTTGAAACCATAAAATTTAAAAATTATTGCTTATAATCTGTTGGCTATTCTCATGTTCTAAAAGTCAAAAAAGGCAACACTATTCAGTTTGCTCAGATTATCTTAAATGTATATTTTATCTGACATGTTTTATACTGTAACCCTATTCAGGTAGTCCTCATCTTACAACAGTTCGCTTAGTGACCATTTAAAGTTACAACGGCTTTGCAAAGACCATTTTTACACTTATGACTGTTACAGCATTCCCATGGTCATGGGATTTACATTTGGATGCTTGACTGATTCACATTTATGATGCTTGCATTATTCCAGGATAATATGATCGCCTTTTGCAACCTTCTGACAAGCAGTCAATGGGAAAATCAAATTCACTTAACAACCGTGTTGCTAATTTAACAACTGCAGTGATCCACTTAACAAATGTGATAGGACAAGTTGTAAT